ATTCAGGGCCTAGGAACATCCCTTGGCCTCAAAGCAAAGGTCTAATCAGAATTCTATGTTAAGACCTCTAAACATTTTAAGATAGTGCCTTATAGACCCTCTTATCTAGACAAAAGGGCTTCTAGGAATCTTAAGGATCCAACAGCAGCTACCTCTCAGCAAGTCTTAAAGTAGACAGAGGTTTGTTTTTGAAATAATTAAAGATGCTTTGGTGGGCAAGGAGTTAACTCCAATAAGAGTTATAGAAAACCTATAAAATTTTAAAGAGAATTGTATTGATAAAACCACCACCAGCTTGGACTAAAGAAGAATGAGATAGTTTAAAATGGAAAATAAAAGAAGCCTCTGGGCCCCTAAAATTCTATGGGCAGGAAGGAATCAGAGTGAGCTAGCTATTCAACTGTAAAGGGCAGACAGTTTCTTATGCAAAAGAAAGATAAACTCAGAGGTAATAGCTTGGATCCCTGAGCAGAAGCCAAGAACATTGGATTAGGGAACTACTCAGAGGGAGAACCAGGCTCTAATGGAGACCTAGATCCTTAGAGTCAGGATGACAGTGCTTGGCTGCCTTTCAGAATGCTATCGACGAGTGAGAGCTATGTGCCTTCCATTCCATCGCCCTCCGCTTCGGAACCGGAGTGTCTGTTGCAGGGATCCTATTCCTGTATGTTGTGTATGTAACTTGTCTTTTAGTTTACAGGTCTCCAGATGAAAAGGAGCAGCGTCTGAAATGTCTCATCCACATCTGGGCCTACTGTAAATTACTTGATTCTAGACCTTAGAGCCAATGCTATACAGAAGGATCATTTTGGGAGAGGAAGCAAGTATATTTTGCAAGACTTTGTGTGGGTGTGTATGTGTGAGTTTTTGTGGCCAGAGGTGGATTATGATAGAGTGTTTCCAAATAACACTGCTAATAATTCCTTCCATCACAGCCACTCCTTCCATTAAGAAGTAGAGTCTCTTTCCTCTTCCCTTAGAGCTGGTTGGAATTGTGACTTGCTTTGGCCAGGAGAATACAATGAAAGTGATATTCTGGACTTCCTAACTCTAGCTTTAAGATACCTTGTCATTTCCATTTTCTCCCTCTTTGGATCTAGGCATTGTGTAAAGAAGCTTGGGCTGGATCACACGATGAGCAATTATATGAAGAGAGAGAAGCCTTCAGCCATTTCAGCTCCTCAAGCCAAGGTGCTGGACATGTGAGTGAAACCTCCAAGATCTTCCAGCCCCAGCCAAACTCACAGCTGAATGCAACCACATGTTAGGCCCCAACTGATATCATGAGGGCTGCAGAAGAACTATCCAACTGTGCCCTTCCCAAATTGCAGAATTGTGAGAAAATAAATGATGGTTGTTCTTTTAAGCCACTAGGTTTATTATGGCAGTATGTTATGTAGCAGTAGGTAATTGAAACAGTTATCCAACTTTGGGGTATTTTATATTGCTTTAACTTTCCTCTGCAGGCTGTGAAGAGGTTACAACAGTGTTGATAAAGAAGCCAAGTTCAAGGAGAATACATTTCATAAAAGCTGGACCCTATATGCCATATCATTGCTCTGTTTACAGAGCTTTGCACAGTGCAAATAATGGACACCCAAATATTTGCTGATTGAATCATTAAATGAAAGAATGGAGATAAGACCCCACACTATCAAGAAGACAGACAGAAAAGATACTTTAAACTGAGTTTGTTTCATGCATTTTCTCTTTCAAAAAGATACCCTTTGTTGTCAGAAAAAGTGATGTCTCAGAAGCCAGAAAGATGTTCTGAAGGAAATGATTTATAGGAGTGAGGTAAGGGTCAACCTTGACTACTTCTCACTGTGCTTCCTTTGCCTAGACAAATGAGGACTACTCTGTAAGGCACCTGGTAAATGTCCCAATACCTGCTGGCATATAAAAATTATTATATTTTTCTATTATTGGAAGAGCTAAAAAGCAAAATACATGTTCCATAGAGCTAGAGTTAAAGGTTATATTGTCAGGCTGGTGTGGTTCAGTAGTTGAGCGTCGACCCATGCACCAAGAGGCCGTCAGTTCGATTCCCAGTCAGGGCACATGCCCAGGTTGTGGGCCAAATCCCCAGTGGGGGGCATGCAGGAGGCGGCCGATCTATGTTCTCTCTCATTGATGTTTCTATCTCTCTCTCCTTCTCCCTTCCTCTGTCTCTAAAATCAATAAAGAAAAAAAATTTTTTTAAAAGGTAATATTCAGAGGACCAAAGTAGAATGTCCAATGGCCAATTTTAGATTGGAGACTAAAACAGTCAAAGCTGTCTTGTCATGTTAGCTGTCTGTCACTCTCTAGTCCTAGTCACAATATCTTAATGCCACCTGGACACAGTGACTGCCTGTCTACTCTGTGGTTCTCCCAGGAGGACCTAGTCCAACCTTTATTTCTCAGAGTGATAATTTCATACAGCATACTTCTCTACTGAGATTTGTAAGGAAACATAAGTGCCATCTGAAATAGCTCCAGGAGCGATTTAGGACATGAAGAGCTCATATACAATAATGGAAACTTCTCTTTTAGGACATAGTTACTTGTATGATCCATAGCAATGACTTCTGGTGAAATGCCTCGGGCAAAATATCTATTTAAAAGAACAGCAATATTTGTAATCAAGATAAATGAAATAAGGGGAAAGCCTTCAGACCATTGGAAGAATGGGGTGGTTTCGATTCAAACCTATAATTATTATATTTTTCCATTCTGTATTATTTAGAAAACAGTGGTTAAAAAGAATAAAAATAGAGAAGATTGCTTAAAAATTAAAGCAACTGATTTAGATCTCTATTTGAAAGGTCAGTGTGTGGGAGATGAGAAAGACACTATAATGTACAGAGTGTTCAACAAAAGACACATTAGCAGTAGGATCTAGAAAGATCACATCAACTATTTTTATCACCCATGTTAAGTTGCTGGTCAGTTCACTCATCAAAAGATATTTTCTTTGGACATTCTTTGGGTGTACTAACAATACAGTTTTGAAATTAGTTGTTAGAAAATGTAATTAAAGCTTGTTTGTCATGTTCACTAATGATTCTATATAGTTAGTCTCCCTGAAGCTTTATGTAATTCTCCCTTTGTTACAAGCTTCTGTTTCTCCCTAGGGTGTTCTGAATCCAGACAGATAAAGAGCTGAAGTGCTTGGAAACCAATGTGTATTATTTTATCCGTACAGCCAAACAGATAATTGCTATTGAATTTTAAAAATTATTTTAAAAAATCTTTCTGTACATTAGATAGGGTCAGCTATGTAGGAGGTTTCAGCTCTACCACTTGGGTAAGGGGATTTCTTGGGTAGAAGGAAAAAGTGAAGAAAAACAAAAATTGAAAAAAGGATACATCAGTATTTTCCTTCAGGAATCTGCTTAACAGTGGGAAGGGGAAGAGGTTTTTATTCAGCAACTTCTAATTACCACCTGATATTGCTGTCAGGCTGGCCAAATATTATCTGCCAACATTGGTGATCCTTTCATTCATCACTAGAGAAAAGTAGAGAGACCTGATGTTTAGAGTAGCAGCAAAACTATTTCTCATTTTCTCCCTTTAGCTGATGGAAGTGCTTGTGGGCCAGTCTCATATTCCTGCACTTTAGTGCTGGTGATGCACACTCTCTCTGCTCTAGAGTAACTCTGTGCCACGGGAATGGAAAAGAATCCTCTCTCCTCATGCCTAATTCCAACAGGGCAGAGATGAACCCATTTTCTTCCCAGGTATGGATTTCAGAACTTCTCAGATGCTGGAAAAGTAATCCTCACATAGAGTAGGTTTCAGGGACCCGGGATAAACTCAGTGTCCTGAGAAACTAACATGGAACATTTTACTCCTCCCTAATCTGCTTCCCTTCATTTAGCTTCCTCTCCACTTTGCCTTTCCCCACCAAGCAGTAGTGGATATTCAACTGAGCACAGCTCAGGTTTTTACCATGCAATCTAGTGGAACACCTCGAAATCAGGGACTCTTTGTCTTTGGTTATCTGTAAAATAAGGAAGTCTCTAGCTCACACTAGGCTGTGTGGACAGGATTTTCATATTTGGAAATCAAAGCAGGAGTAGGCCCTTCTCCTACTATTTCCAGGTTGCTCTCCATTTTCTTTCCAGTTTTGGCCAGTCTCCCCTAAGCCCACCAGGAGCACGCACAAAATTAGCTTATAGTAAATATCAACAGCATGCTAACTCTTGTAGACCTATCTTAAAAGGATGTTGTATATAAATGCCAAGATTTATGGAGCCTAAGAGATCGCTAAGAACACTCTAAGTATCCCTGGTTTAATTAGTAGTCTTGGAGTTAGGTAATGGTCTGTGGCTTCTAAGCTAGGTCTCTTGAGGTTTCTAGTCTTCAGGGGCTGCCTGCAACTATGATGTACTCATATACGTTCTTCTTTCTCTAAGATGTCCTCTTAGACATTTACTCCCAATTACTGCAATACACATGCAAATTGATCTCTGTTCTCCCAGTGCCTAAAACGACCCGGTTCATCTCAGCCTAAGTCTCAACACACTAATTTGGGGCTCCAATTGTCTCCTTGAGTTCTACTTCCTGGGGGAAAGAAAAGGAAGAAATTCCTAGATTGGTGTTGATTGATGCCTATTTTCTCCAAGCAGACGATGGACAACTCGCTTTGCAGCTGATCAATGTCCCGGTAAATGTGCTCCAGTTCTCATTTCTGAACCAGCTCTTTCACAGGGATAGGTCAACTAATGGGACTGTAAGCAGACTTGACAGGTTTGTTCTGGGCTGACGGCCATTGACTAGGTTCTCCGACCAGATAAGTCACTTGGCCGAGTTTACAGTAGGTGGGGCACGCTCACCAGTTTAGGGTTAGTGACTGAAGTTTGTTGCAACATCGGTGTATTCAAGCAGCAGGCCGCTGCAAAAGATACCCTCTTGTCCCGCGAGGACGGCACCAGAAGGTTCGCCCTAAGGGGCAGGGCACTAGCGAAGGAGAGACCCGGACCCACTCTCCCGGAGGGTGTGGACACAGCCCCTTTTCCTACGGTAGTGAATGCGCAGTGTTAGCCGATCCAGAGCTAGCGTCTCCGGTCTCGGACATTTAGTTTGCTCTGTGGGTAGCAGGCGAAGGGTGAGACGAGCTGGGGAACTCTCGTTCCCATGTCTGCAAGAAGCAGCGGTGGCAGCCAGCGGTGCGGGAAGGCGGGGGCACGTGCTTGGATGTGGGTGCTTGTGTAACCAGCTTCCCAGGCGTCAGCCCCGACAGCGCTCCGGCGCTCCGGCGCGTGGCTCTTCTGAGCTAGTTTTTCCGTCGTGAACCAAAAGGTCCCGGGGTAGGTCCTGGGGTACCGCTGCCTGCACAGGGCGAGCGCACCCGGGGCGATGGAAGCGAACCACTCGCCTTCCCAGCTATTATAGGGGAGTGGGAATTTGGAAAGTTCCCCAACTAGGAACACACGTGACCGCCTCCTGAAAGTAGTTCCGACAATGGTCCGTGTATCCCTCCACCTCCTTTTGAACCCTCCTAGGTCTTCTCGGCCCCGCCCACTCGCAGGGGTTGCAGCTCCCTACCGTCGTGAACTTCTCATTCGGGCCCGGCTACCCTGGCCTCCAGTGTGCACCCTCTTGCTAGGGGAGCGAGGATGCTGGCCCCAGGGCGATCCACCCATCCGTGTTTTCACGGCGGCCCAAAAGGGGCGGGACGCTGTAGCCTCTGAGGACCGAGCTTGAGTTCGACGCGGTGAACCGAACCAGAGATCCAAAGGAGGGAAATGCTCGGCCCTCCAGGGGTCAATGCAGCGGCTCCGGGGTGCATACACTCTAGGGATCCGCTCTCAGTCCACCTAGACAGTTGTCCTTTGGGACTTAGAAATTCGGGGGCGATGGTCTCACACTTAGCGTGCTCGACTGGGAGCTTTTATTTTTAGGGCGAAAGGGCCGAGTTGCGGGGGAAGCGGGAGGTGGGGCGGTGAAAGGGGGCCGGATGAGGTGAAACACACTGGAGACACAATAGGGGGTTGTTCTTTGTGCTAAGACTGACACCTTGAGGGCACCGGGTGGGGAGGAGGAGGAGGTGGGATTTTTATGCAAAGGCTGTTGCATTCAAATCTCTGCGAACGATTGTGATCCGACAGCGGTGTAAAGAGTGAGCCTGCAGGCCGTGGGGGGAAACCTAGGGGCGGGGGCAGGGGGAGGGGTGTCCTCACTGCAGGGACCGTCCCCGCATTTCCCTGTTCACTGACCAGTGCAGGTGCCCCGTCTTTGGCACCTGTGCACAGGTAACCTCACACCCGAGTCAGTGACACCACTCAGCGCACCCGCGTCAGCTTTCACCGTTAGCACCCGCGACAGCCTATCCAGCTTCCGGCTGGGTTTCTGGGCGCAGGCCGAGGCTTAGCTCGTTCCCCCTCCCTGCGTTGCAGCAGAAGCAGCCGCAGCAAGTGCAGCCAGTTACCGGCGGGCGCCTCGGAACAAGCCAGAGCGAGCCCCGGACGGTCCCACTGGGCATGCTCAGTGGCGCTTGCAGGTTGGGGATCGGCGTTCGCACCCAGCGCTATCCCCTCCTACCACCTCTGCCCTACCCTGTCCTTCCCTCCCCCAGCGCGGTCCGGCCCGCCCCCCGCCCTCCCTCCCTCCCTCCCTCCCTCCGGCTCCCGAGGCGTTTGGGCTCCCCGCGCGGCGGTGGAGGGGGCGGGCCGACCGGCGGCCGGTGATGTGGCGGAACTCTTTGTGCACTGCGGCAGGATACACGTTCGGGGCTGGGACGCGGCGCCGCTCAGTTCTCTCCTCTCGGAAGCTGCAGCCATGATGGAAGTTTGAGAGTTGAGCCGCTGCGAGGCGAGGCCGGGCTCAGGCGAGGGAGATGAGAGACGGCGGCGGCCGCGGCCCAGAGCCCCTCTCAGCGCCAGTGAGCAGCCGCGGAGGCTGCGCCCTCGGGGAGCCGGCCGGCCGGCGGCGGCGGCGGCAGCGGCGGCGTTCCTCGCCTCCTCTTCGCCTTCTTTTCTAATCGTGCAGCAGCCTCTCGCCCCGCTTCTGAAAGGGAAGGTGGAAGCCGTGGGCTCGGGCGGGAGCCGGCTGAGGCGCGGCGGCACCTCCCGCTCCTGGAACCCGGGGGAGAAGCGGCGGCGGCGGCGGCCGCAGCGGCTGCAGCTCCGGGGAAGGGGTCGGAGTCGCCTGTCACCATTTCCAGGGCTGGGAACGCCGGAGAGTTGGTCTCTCCCCTTCTCCTGCCTCCAACACGGCGGCGGCGGCGGCGGCACATCCAGGGACCCGGGCCGGTTTTAAGCCTCCCGTCCGCCGCCGCCGCACCCCCCCTGGCCCGGGCTCCCGAGGCCGCCGGAGGAGGCAGCCGTTCCGAGGATTATTCGTCTTCTCCCCATTCCGTTGCCGCCGCTGCCAGGCCTCTGGCTGCTGAGGAGAAGCAGGCCCAGCCGCTGCAACCATCCAGCAGCCGCCGCAGCAGCCATTACCCGGCTGCGGTCCAGAGCCCAGCGGCAGCAGAGCGAGGGGCATCAGCCACCGCCAAGTCCAAAGCCATTTCCATCCTGCAGAAGAAGCCCCGCCACCAGCAGCTTCTGCCATCTCTCTCCTCCTTTTTCTTCAGCCACAGGCTCCCAGACATGACAGCCATCATCAAAGAGATCGTCAGCAGAAACAAAAGGAGATATCAAGAGGATGGATTCGACTTAGACTTGACCTGTATCCATTTCTGCGGCTGCTGCTCCTTGCCTTTCTGTCACTCTCTCTTAGAACGTGGGAGTAGATGGATGCGAAATGTTTCCATAGTTTGGGTGACCATTGCATTTAACCCTGGTCGCATGTCTAGGTTATTTATATTTTGCGTCTCTTTTTAATGCATTCAACCTAGGGTGTGTTCAGCTAGACGGAACTCGTGGCTTGTTGCAAGTGTCAAGGCACCGAATGGTTTCTTCGTCGATCTATGGGGTCTCTTCCCTAAAGGCTATTGTCCGTTAGTGCAGAATACAGTACGCACGCTATTAGGGGTTAGTGAATTTGGTGATCTGGTCTCCTAAATGAACAGAAAGGTAGGCGCGTTGAGGTTGAGTTTATTTCGATTAAATCTTGGCTTTGGTCCCTAGATCAAGGGTATAGATCAGATTAAAATGAAAATTAGTGTTGCACGTACGCATATTGCATCAGAATCTTGCAGTGATTGTCTTAGTTTTCTCGTATTGCCTTGATAAATTCCTTTAAAATGCGAGTGGTGAGCTGATTTGCGTAATTATAGAAGCTGAATCATTTCCAGTATATATGGTGCTCATTTGATGGCAAAAGTAGGGTTTGTATGTTTTAACTAAGTTAATTACAACCTTGACCTGCATTTAGACATTTAGAAGTTTTGTCATTTGAGATCTAGAGTGCCATAATATACCTCATAAGGTGCTCTTATTAGATCTTTGTTAAATTTGCCTTTTCTCTCCTGATGGGGTGATGTAGGATAGAGCATGAAATTTGCAGTTCAAGTAGCATTTTATATTCAGTGCTCTTGTTACACCTAATAGAATGGAGATTGAGTGGTTTTTGATCCCAGATAATAATGTTGTGTAGGTTCAAGGGATTGTGTGTAGCAAATGGTAATTGCAAAGATTAAACTTCAGTTCTCACTTGAAATTTAAGTATTGTGATGCCAGAATTGCTACTCAACCTTATTTAGGTTTCAGGCCCAATGACACCTTTGGGTAGCCCTTAAATTTACTCTGACTCGTGTAGAATGTCAAGTATAATTTACCAGCTAATAATCAGAAATTCTGGTGACAGTGTATTACTCCGGCTTCAGATGGTAGGTATGTTAGCTTTTTACAGTGTTAAATTTACTGAGTCAGCTTGTCGAATAAGACAGACACCCAAGAAATTTTAACGGTGTATAGTTTGGTTGTCTAAAAGTTAAGCCTTTGTACTTCAAAAGATAGTGGTTATCAGAAGGCATTAATCTTTGCAGTTTCAGATATAATAGACGGTTTTGATCAAGGATGGGGATAGAGCCCCTCCTTTTTGCAGAATGGAAAGTATCACAGGAATCGAGAGTTACTGGTAGGCCAGTGTATAAGGCATGAAAAACAGAATTAAGGTATTGGACTGAGGTGACTGAAGCATTCTATTAAGGCCAAAAATTTGGTGGTGTGAATTGTAGCAGTGGACAGTATTTAGTTAAAATTATGTAATTGCACAAGTGTTAATAGAGTTCTTAGTAAAAATTCATTTAGCAGATAATCAGTAAACATTTTGCCTAAAGGTAGAGTGACACTAACTTATATATGCCCTGCAAAATATTGTGGGGAATTTTTTTTTTTTTAAAGAAAACATTTTATATCTGATGAGTATGCTATGTTCCTTTGGCTATGTAGCTTCACATAAATGTGCACAGCTAATTTTGCCCAAGTTTTGTTTCGAAATGATGATAAAAGTTACTGAAGAAATAGCTTTACAAAATGTTAACAGTTTTTAAGTTAAAAATAATATTGAAAAAAAAATGGGAACTTTTGGAAATTGCATTAATTGAAAAAATTCAGTAAGGCTGAACTTGACCCGCTTGCCTAGTAGATAATTATGGGAAAACTCCTCTGATTTGTAACACTTCAAATATAGTATACGATTGACAGTCATCTAGATATACAAGAACAAATTAATTAAATGTTTGTCTAACTTTTTTTAAAAAGCCCCATTCACAAAAGTTTGTAGAATACAGTTTGGTACACAAATCAAAGTTTGTTTATGCTATTTTTACTTAAGACATTTGATTTAAAATTATTCTACCAAGTACTTATATGTGCGTAGTGAGGTGGTTGGCTATTTCTCCTTCCGTTTCAGAGTATGTGTGGCTCTGTATGTGAAATTTATTTAACTTAGAACTTTCTCTAAAATTGTATTTTTAGTTATGGTATGCATAGAAAACAGTATCAAATATTGCATCAAATGACTAATAACATTTAATTTTTAAAGTTGTGGTTTTATTGAGCCAAATATTGATATGAAAAAATTAGTTAGGAAAACTCAGTGAAGGGCTAATTTTTTTTAAAAATAGTTACACTTCCAATAATTTTGATATACAAAAACACTTTGGTTTGCTTGGTTTCACTTTAGTGTTTTGTGTTTATTTTGGGGGCGGGGGGGATGAAAATGGCCATTGTAGCCTTTTCTCTGGCGGGTTGTAGGATCTATCTACTTCAACAGCTAACCTGTTGAAAGTTAAATTACTTTATGAAAGTAGTGATTGGAGTATTTTAGCTGATAAAGAAAGATTAATAATAAAGTGATTTCTCAAAGAAAAATTGAGGGCCGTAATTCAGTTATAAAAGATTTTTGCAAAATTGAATTATTCTAAAAAATAATTTGTTGGTACGGTTTTATTAATGTTAGTCTGGAAAGGAGTACTGAACATGAGTCTATAAAATAATTAGTGTCTTTAGATTTCATAGAAACTTTAGGCTTCTGTTGTATTTTTATTTTTGATAAGTTTGTTTCTTTTGAAATATTAACCTTCATAGAGAATATTTTTAACTTGAGAGTACAGTGACTATTGAAATTAGCTGTATTATCCCTTAGTATTAGTGATTATTTAAATGACCATATTGTGAGGTTTTTTTTTTAAGATTCTATTAACAATTTTTATTTTACACTGTTATGTATCTACCAAGTTGTATTTCTTTCCTGAACAACTGGACCACCTAATTGCTAAATGATAATTTGCAAACTTCATATTCATAAAGCTTATTCAAGACTAAATCACATTTGAAAGGAGAGTAATTTACAGTTTATATGACTCAATATAAGGAGAAAGGAATTTTATTTTCTCTGTAAATGTTTGCACAGTAGTACATTTATTAATGCAGATTTACATTGCTTATAATATATTAAAATATTAAATGAATAAATATGATAAAACATGGTGAGACATAACCAACTTAATTTTCAGTTTAATTTTAGAAAGATAGTAGAGAAAGATGCATTTGTGTATTACCTTTTTAGAACTTTTAACAGCATGAGAATGGTAGCTGGTGATATTATTTTAATTTTTGTGTGGAATAATTTATCTGCTTTTTCCTAATAACTACACACAATATACAGATCTCTTAATGTTATAAAATTACTTACGTTTTGGGAGTAAAGTGTACTGTTCTTCTTGTCAAGTGTTCTCATTTTGAGATTTGCCCCATTTGTTCATTTGGTGATAGCTTAATACTTTTTAATAATTTTTAAGGCACTTAAGAATTAATCACTTCAGTGACTTTTGATGGGAGTATTTATTATGGGAAAATCAGCTCTCAAAGTTTCAACGTTAATTGACGCCCAGTAACAAGTATAGGAAATGTTTTTATATTAACATCGTATGTGAAATCAGAGTTTGTAAAGAGAGATCTAGAAGTGTGGATGCATATAACAGTTTTTCACTTACTTGAACTGTTGGGCCTTGGTTGTACTATAAGGATTTAGCTTCCAGAATATGTTATTAATGTAGTATAAGAAATTTATTTGGTATCATATATTTTTTTCCTATAGAGACCATTAGTTCTGAATTTTTATTTCTGTTTCGTAGAACTCTCATTATTACTCACCTTTCTCTCCTCCCACCTCTCTGTTAGATAAACTTGATTTTTAAGTATAGTTAATATTGGAGAATTCTTTTGTGGCCTGAATTCATTAAGGAAAAGTGTTAGGATTTGTTCTAAGGATAGTGATTTAAGACATTTGTATCAGCTTGTGAGGTTGGGGTCAATAATGATTCCAGTAAATATCCAGTTCTGTTTTACAGTTGTTTTCTATCTGGTAGCTTTGAAATTAGTGCAGTTGCTATCAGGGATATCAGTAATGTTGAGGTTAGACTGAATAAGTTGGTAAGGATTTATTGAGCAAACTGATATCCTAATTCTTTTATATAGGCCATATGCTGCCACATGCATTCTTTGCTAGGTAGTCAAAAGTGTTTTGGTTTGTGAATAATGAGTCTCTTTGGAAGTATTGAATATATGCACTTACTAATGTAAAATACTTTTCATTTGTCAGGAAAGGTGAAATTAGTATATTGAATTTGACTATTTACTTACCCCCTAATTTTTCAAATTATAGATATTAGCAGTTTGGTTCTTTTAATATAATTTACACTGGAATAAAAAAAGGCTGTTGGGAAAATATTAGTGTAAGAAGAATAAACATAATTTAGGGCTGCATTAATATTGGGTGGGAAGTTTTAATGTAGTTCAAGTATAGTCAAGACATACTTTTCATTTGCAACAGTTGGCATTTAAGAGATGGGTGGATATCTTCAGATTATTAGGTATACACTTGGTGTTGTTGAGAATATTTACACATGGATAGTGTGGCTGAACTTGTCAGCAAAAGAATATTCTTAACCTGTACGTAGTGTGGAAAAGAAGATTGTATTCATAGAATTTTCAAACTTAAAAGTTACATTCACTGTCCCTAAGTATGAGCAGTGACAGAGAATCTAACTTATAAGTGTGTAAATTATCTGTGTAAATAAAGTTAGCAAACTACCATAATATTTATGAAAAATGAACTTATTTTCTCTTTAAATAAGAGATTACCTTGGTGGATATTGTTTTAGGATTTTCAAATAAGGTTAAATCTATTTTATATATTAAAAAAATTTTTTTTTATCTTTACCTGAGGACATTTTTGCATTTATCTTCAGATAGAGCTGGAGGGAGAGAGGGAGGAAG